AGAAAATGCAGATGCATATTGAAATCCATTCTAGATAGACATAGCGCTCGTAATCACTAGACTCAGAACATACCTTATACACAGTATAACATTATCAGCAAAGATAAGATGGGAAGATATGTGGCGTCACGCTTTGATACTTTAGTAGATATTGACAGCATTGCATACCGTAATTTACATATAAAGTATTGTATGTGCACGAGCCATTAGTCATTTAGATAGACATCGTGACATATTGGAATTGATAGTTTGTATTACACGCATTATACATAAATGGATATTCTATCTAATGCGTCATATTATATCTGTAATAAACATGAGAAACAAACATAACACTCGATTTAAATTGAATAATTTGTTTTGACGTAATTGTCTTTAATATATGGTTTGGAATAATTTTATCGGTGATTTTATTATGTTGTATTCATTTTATCAAATGAAAAGAAAGGCATCAGTTATTTTAGCGAATTTTGATGCGATTGTATTCATCCGACGCGTTTGTGGCTTAAATAACAAAATTTTATTATCTTTATTTTCAAACATAAATCGCTTTCAATTTACCACTCACATATTCCATAGTTTATGTTTACGAAGAAATAATATCTTATTCATTTTGTTATGGCTGATAATATTTCCTTTTTCATTTTAATATTTATGTTGTCTCGAATGTAGATAATTATTTTAAGATATACATGTTTTATAATTGTTTTATAATTTTATATTTTACATTTGTGTAATTTCTTTCATTATTATATATTTAAAAGACCGGAAAAAATTGATTTAGATTGACAATATGATTATTTATTAATTTTTTTAAATATAAAATTCGTGTATATTTTTATATTTGTATTAGAACATAAAGATAGAATGAATGAATTTGTTTCATCCTTTTATTTCATATTTTCAATAAAATTGAATAAATATATACATACATATATCCAGCATTCATATAATAATATATCAGTAAAGATTAATCATACATTCAAAATTAAAGATTTTTATAGTTTCAACAGATTTAATTTTAACTTATATAATTTCTTTACATTTGGGAAATTACTTACTTATTATATTAGCATTTATTTAAATATTATACTATTTAGCATTTTTAAGTATTGAAGCATCCTTCATCAAAATTATGTATTATTTTCGTTAATATATATTTACTTTTATTTATATACATTTTTTATACGATATA